TGTCCCTGGTGACTGAGGTTGAACAGCTTTTTATTTGTCTGTTGGTCAGTTAGTTGGATGTCCTGTTTTGTGAAGGTCCTGTTCAAATATCTTGCCAATTTTTCATTGCATGGTCTTTTCTTCTTCTTGATTTTGGGAGGTATTACATTCTGTACATAAGGCATTTGTGGGATATACATGTTGCAAATATCTTTCTCCCGTTCTGAGGTTTATCTTTTTGCTCTCTAAGTGTGTCTGTTGGTGAACAGAAGTTCTTATTTTGGCAAAGTCCAAATTATCCACGTTTTCCTGTATCGTTAGTGCTTTTTGTGTTCTGTTTCCAATATCCTCGTCTCTCCAAGGTCATAAAGATATGCTCATACGTTATTTTCTATAAGCTTTAACTTCTGGAATTGGTTTTAGTGTAGGCATAATTTTAGGGGTCAAAGTCCCTTTATCCCCCACATGGATGGCTATCCAGTTAGTCCGGCTCCACTTATTTAAAAGACTCTCCTTCCCCCGGAGCACTGCAGTGGCACAATGAGTAAATGAGGTGAGCACGCTTGTGTGAGTCTGAGTACGGGCCTTCTCTTTGTTCTCTTTGTCTATTTGTCCATTCCTGTGCCCACCCCACACTATCTTAATTATTCTAGCGTCATAGTTGGTCTTGCTCTCTGGCTGTAAAAGTCCTGGAAAGTCTTGTTTGGATGACTGTTCTTCGGCTCTTCTTGGATCTTTGTTATCCATACGTAATTCGGACACAGCTGCCCATTTTCATTTTCAAAATCTCTGCTGGGAATTGGATTGGGATTGCATTGAATCCATGGATCATTTTCACGAAAGTCTCTCTTCAGTTCACTCTTGATATATCTCTGATTTACATGGGTCTTCTTCAAGTTCCCCCAGAAACGTTATGTTATGTGCGGGCAGAGGTGTTGGGACTCCTTTGTTAGATTAGTTCCCAGGTGTTTGCTGTTTTCTGATGCCGTAATAAGTGGCATTTAAAAATTTTTCTCTTTGCAATTTTAATGCTAGTATATAGAAATCCAATTGAATTTTGTGATATTGACCATATATCCAGCAATCATGCTGAATTCATTCATTAACTATAATATCAAATATATACATTCTTTTAGATTATTAATGTAAACAATCTGTTGTATCTCTTGTATTTTTTGAAGAGCTGAGAAAATGTTCCACAAAGACTCCAGGCAGACACGTATCCATAGCTCATCAACTACAACTGGGGAATTCCCATTCCTAAGCCAGTCCTGGAAGGGTAATGAGATTACCATGACCTGGTTAGTCAACCACATGCCTGTATAATCAGGTACGTGGCGTTATGGGCTGCAGTCTTCCTTTATTTTAACCAAATATGTTAATAGTTGGAAATGAAACCTTTGATCAGAAAGGTGAAAATCAGTAGATAGTAATGATGGATTGATACTGGTGGACTCTCTCCACGTAAATGAGCTCAAATTGCAATTCTTAAGGTACTTCATTTCCTTTTTTTAATTGAAGATAGGTGACATGCAAGGTACATCATTTCTTAAGCAAAGACTAAGATGTTTAATATTTGAAAATCATCTGTCGATTGCGGAGGAAGAATTAACTCTAAAAATGAGGTAATTCACTTCACACATACCCTCTGGTGACTATAAAATACAAAATTCTCATAGAAAATCTAACACCTACACATACAAATTTTTAACAATAGTTATTGATCACTGACGGGATTGCCCATGATTTAATTTTGTTTAAACTTTTCTGAATTATCTACATGCTCTACTGCAGGGTTTGCCAACCTGGACACTACTGATCTTTTGGACCAGATCATTCTTTGTTATAAGACGCTGCCTTGTTCACTCAGGCAGTTTAAGCAGCATCCCTAGCTTTGATCCACTGGATGCCAGTAGCACTTCCCATTTACCCCAGTTGTGACAAACAAAAATGTCTCCAGACTTTGCCAAGTGTCCGCTGGAGGGCAAAATGCCCCTGGATGAGCACCATTGCTCTAGTGAATGAGATTTCAATATACATAGAATGCTAGGTATATAGAAAGATGGATAGATAGATAGATAGATGTACATACACATCAGTATATTATTTTTTATTGGCATAAAATAGCCATTTTCCAATAGCATTAAAAGTTCTTCAAAAACATCCTATAAAATCTGCTTAAGTTTATCCTATGGACATCCAGTATCCTGCTGGAAATTTAGGTGGTTTCAAATTTTTCAAAATAAATGACATTAAAATAATCATGTTCGATCATGTAACATTGTGGTCATATATATATAGTATGTGTGCATATACATTTATATATATATATATATATATATATATATATAAAATATAGTGTATTTCTTTAGAATCAATGCCTACAAGGCGAATTGTAGCGTCAAATGGATTTCGTGTTTATGACTTTTTATGTCTCACCAAATTTCCATCTGGCAAGGTGCTATGAATGTATAACCCCATCCAGCATCACACAAGAGAGCCTGGTTTCTTAAAACAGCTTAAATCATAACTGAACATTAAAAATTAGCTACTTTCCAAACTGCAAATAGCTGTATTTTCCTGAATGTAAGAATACTCTATGTTCATTGAAAACATATAAACCACGAGGCAAACAAAACTTACTCTTCCAGAATTTATTTTCCCCATGAGAATCAGTGATTCCCACTGTGTCCCCAATCTGCAAGTCTTCCCAATTCCAGCAAGTGGCACCACCATCCACCCAGATACTATGTCCAAAAATCAGAGTCATCACTGATTGCTGTCCTACCCTCACGACCTCACAGCCATTCAAGTTTTGCCAGCTGAGGCCTCAGACAACGACATCCTAGAGCAGAGACAAGCCATGCCCGCTCTGCCCTGAGTTCCAGCTCTACAGGATGCCTGAGCAGGATCAAATGGTCATTGTCCCAAGACACTCGGTTACAGAGTGGTAGATGACTGGAATGCATTCTATCCATTTATTCTTTAAGTATATCCTCTACTTCATCAGTATCTGTTTTCCATATTCCACTCCATTTCATTTTTATTGTCTACTTCATCCTTCATAACTTGTATTCTAGATATTTTTTGTGTATTCCATATTTCATTCAAATTTCATTGTTTGTTTCTATCCATTCCAGTACTTTTAAATCTAGTGCAAATTTCATAGCCATTGACTTCAGGACATTGCACATTCTGTTCCATTCTATGATTCCTTCCCATTTAATTTGATTTCTCCTATTTTCTTTAATATTTTATTTCACTGTATATTCCATTCCTTTTCTCATGTAACATTACATATATATTTTTTGTTCCACGTGCCATTAGATATTTATTTCCATTCCCCCTTCCACCCTTTTCCCATTCTATTCTATTCAATTCCATCCCATTCAATTTCCATTCCATACCTGTTCAAGTGCGTATTCCATCCCCATTTTATGCATTTCCACTTTAATCAGTCTCCATTGCATTCCACTTCAAATCCACTTTCCATTCCATTTATTTACACTCCAAATACCGTTCCAGTCTTTTTTGCATTGTGTTTCACTCCAGTTTCTCCTTCGGTCCGGTAAACATTCCATTCCATCCGGCCAAAATGGTTAGAACAGTGACTTTCACGAGAACATCTTGCTAATATTTCAGGCAAAGAATTACAAATGTGCAGGGCCTGTACCAAGAATTTCCCCTTCTGGGAATTTATCCAAAACAAGGTCAGATTTGGGGATATGAACAATTTTTAGCCAAAAGGCTATGTCTCACATTTATGTGTCAGAGACAGGGAAAAGTCAGGAACATATATGTTGATCAATATAGCAGTGTTTGAAAGTGTAACTTCCTCCATAAAAGGAATGTTTTGCAGTTACACGATGATCTTGTGAAATTCATTTACTGACACGGAAAGATGTTTACTGGACCCAAAAAGGGGTTAGAAAACAATATGTATGCGTAAATAATTTCATTTTTACATAAAAAAAGAACTCTGCATTATTTAGACTGGCCATTGTACCAAAAAATTATTAAACATTTCCAGTACTTGCCTGTGAGAATGTGGGAACTTAGGTTCTAGCTTTCCTGCATTTGCTTTTCTGTTTTGGGCACTAAACATGCAGTAATAAGACATTTGTGACAGTGACTAAAACTCAGTGTCCAAATATTGAACTTCACGCGTGTGCATCACAGCATATTTATAGTCACATCAAAGGCAGAACGGGAACCAAGAATGGAGACTAGGTAACACGAATGAACACATTCATCAGTGGACGACTACGCGCTCATACAAATGAGGACCATATTTAAGGACAGTATCACCCTTATTCCCAGGCTACCCCAGTGTGTATTCAGGGGGCAAGGCAGGGAGACACATCTTACTGGAAAATTCTAAATCCCCCTCTGGCGCATGGCAGGAGTGGTGAACATTACGAAGCCCATCCCTTTTCTCAACTTCCGGCCGCCCTCCGACCCTACGGCCGACCAGACCCCGGTGGGCTCACCCAGATGCCCCGAGGAGTTCCGGGGCGTCCCCTCTGGGATCCCACACGGGCCCAGTGTCCTGACCAGATTCCAGGAGGGACAGCCGGCTGGGTAGCTCCTGTTGGCCAGCACGGTATTTCTTTCAAGCCATCGCTTGAGGTTGAGCCACCAGAGCGGTGCTGACAAGCTAAGCTGATTTGAGGTGACGCAAACGGTTTATATACACAGCCTTCCTGCCCCGGCCGTCCTCGAAACACACACCCCACCCCCACACCCCCACACTCGTAGGGGCCCGGGAAGGACAGGCCATTCAGACCATTGACCTGGCCAGGCCACGGCTGGCGGGCGAGCACACCCTCCGCTGGCCCCAGAGGGAGCTG